CTTTGATTGATAATCTAATTAGGCTTGGTTTCACACATTCCCTGCAAATACGGATCACATTGATTCGATATTTCATTGAATATCATCATTTTTGGGTATGTAAAGATAATTTTGGACATGAGTGTATAACTTTGAGGCAGATGGCAAATTGTCACTGGTACATCAGGAACGATGCAATTCATCGGGAACTAAATATTGACAAAATCAACGTCTGCTTTGCTAAAATTGCGAGAAAATTCTTCAGGAACATCCAAAAAGTAAACAACAGCTCCATCCCGCAGCTCGACTATAACTATCAGGATAGAGGCAACAGAAAAAGACCGAAAGCAGTTCTAATTCATCTCAACACATAAACTATGATTATTTTTCTTTTTCCCTTGATAATTTATTTTCAAATCTAATTTGAACACTGAAATATGACCTATCTGTAAATAATTATACTCTGTTTTTATTACACGACATAAGTGTCGCCATCTAGGAAGTAATTCTAGTACTACGACTAACTCAGGAAAATACAAATTGCCATCTGTTTGGACACTCAGCCACATAAGGGTTTCTAACTAATTTTTGCTGTAACATAACCAACATAATATCTAGATCATCCTATTCCCATAAGAAATAACTATTATTACATTCCATTATCCTTTTGCTTTACTTAAAAATAATTCACATCACCTAATAATAATGTACATTTTGGGTCTACTTTAAACTCCTCCCCCCCGGCCAATGCCTGTCTTGCAAGTAGATACACTTCCTTTTTCAGATCCACTATTGGACACGACGGCCAGTAGCTACACCTATTGCACCAAAGTACGTCAGACCACCGAAGTCAAGCAGCATCAGACGCGGTCAGTACTTGAGAGGTTGACCTCCAGTGAAAACCCCTTCAATTCGGATGAGATCTTGCCACTAAGACGCTAGCATGCAGCATTTTGCATCTACACCAACGAACATTCGAACTAGCTCAACAGACGTATCTGAAGACTCATAACTTGCAGCCTCACGAGATTTATTCATCTCAACCATGAACGATTTAACGTTAGGGTAGGAAAAGATATGCCATTTTCGCACGAATTCGACACAGGATGGGTTTTCATTACCCGGGTGCCTGCATACAAGTGTTTCTAACACCTGAGTCTTCAGTATTGCTTCCGAAGCGCCTTCCCCCGAGATTTTTCTTCAAAGCCGGAAACAGATGGAAGTCGCTTGGTGCGAGATCAGGACTGTATGGCGGATGGTATAGGCACTCCCAACCAAGAGTTGCAATATGGTTTTGCATTGCCGTCGCCGAATGTGGTCTGGCATTGTCATCCAACAGCAGAATGCCAGATGTGAGAAGGCCAGGCCGCTTTTTCCGAATCGTCTCTTTCAATTTCGACAGGGTGTCACAGTAGCGAGTAGCATTGATGGTTCCAACCTCCCAAAAGTCCAGCAACAAAACTCCTTAGGTGTCCCAGAAAACTGTGAGGAGCACTTTAACCTGTAGAGGAGTGTCTTGAACTTCTTTCGGACAGTGATGACAGATTTTCCACTCCATAGATGCGGCCTTCGATTCTGGCGTGAAATGGTGGACCACGTTCATCCCCCATCACAATCCGAAACAGAAAGTCATTGCCATCTTCATGGTAACGCACAAGATGTTCAGGCTGACCCCCATGCGTTGTTCCTTGTGTGTCGAGGTCAATTGTCGGGGCACCCATCGTGCTGACACTTTTCTGTATCGAAGAATGTCGTGGATGATGTTTGAGCTCGCTCATGTGAGATTCCAAGTTCTTCCCTAACTTCATCGATGGTGATACACCGGTTCGCTCTAATTATGTCATCCACCTTCCTGACATTTGCATCTGTAGTGGCCGTGCGCGTCTGTCCAGCTCTCGGTATGTCCTCCACTTGCTGACGTCCATCACTGAATGTGCGACACCATCTCCGCACCCATTTGCTTCGACATCACACCTGGCCCATAGACTTCCACGAGGCGGTTATGAATTTCTGTTCCTGATATTTGACGTGCCCATTCATAGCGGATATCTGTTTTCCCCGGTTTGAAGAAAAATCTCGGGGGAAGGCGCTTTGGAAGCAATACTGAAGTGAAACAAGCCATTCAACGCTTCTTCCATATGCAAAGCCCTGATTTTTTCCTGGAGGGCTTTTTGAAGCTTATCAAGCGATATGACAAATGTCTCAATGTACTTGGTACCTATGTGGAAAAATAAAGGTATGTCATATCTTTAATGTCTCATTCTATTTTTTGACTTTCATACACAACTCTGACCACAGTCGACAGGGGAAACTTATTTTTCAACTTACCCTCGTATCAGAAAAGTATTGGTTTTTCAGAAGAGCACTGTAAGGAAGAATCATCTTAGGTACTTATCATCATGGTATTTGCTTAAATCTTGTGTATATAAAGATTGAACTGGCAGGTGTAAAAGATGTTCTTGTAAGAAGTTGATTTGATAGATAAATGCAAAATCTGAATCTGAAATTTGTATGTTGTATGAAATTTGTATGTCATTTAATTTGGATATGGCAGATTCTGCTTTTTAGACCCCAAAGTTATTTTTCAGTAGACTGTAGGGAATGCTATTGAGTTATAAAACATAAAAATCATATACAGTCAAAAGTTGTTAATTCAGACACCCATAATCCGGACCTCAAAGCTGCAAACTTTCTGCGCATGCGTCGCGTTCACGCATGCGCACAGGCATTTACGAGTGCGCGTAAGACCTTTACGGGTGTGAATATGTTTTTGCACATGCGCTTTTAATGTGTAACGGACAGTATAATCTAAGCAAAAATTATTTAATTCAGTTAATGTTGCAGATTGCGTTGTTCCTTAATCTTCAAATTGGATCCGGCTTATTATTTTTTTGCGGACTGTTAGAGCATTTCATAAAAGTAAGCTTGAACTTTCGATTATGTCAAATAGATTTCTGATATATATTTACTAATATGTAATTGTATCTACAAAGCGAAAGTATGTTTTGAATCTGAAATCTGTTTTATCAATTTCACGCCTCGGATTGGAAATTGATCTGTCAGCACTATCCTTATCTTCAGGCAGATGTTTTTATTTTATTTGGGCTTATAATTCCTTACTAATGTAGTATTTCATCTCAGTGTACTCCGTCTTTGATATGATTTAAATCAAGTTCCTCGTCATTATAATTCGTCTCCGATAGTGAAGAAAGTGACTCAGGTTATTGAAAATGAAAAATTTCGATTGACAAATTAGTCGGTATTCTCGACTCAGCAATTATAGGACTTAAACAGCGGGACTTTTGTAACTAAACAAGAAATTATGTCTGTTTCATAGAATTAAAGAGAAAGTATTATCACATGAAACGAAGCAAATTAAACAACTTATTGAAAGAAATGTTTAATAAAGTAAACAAATAAATATTTAGCTTTTTCTTTTTGTAAATTTTGATACCCTTTAGATCATAATTGCTCTTTATTTCATAAATTACGGTTTCGTATTTTTAATTTTGTAATTTCTGCATGCCATCTTACCAGATTTAAACTGATGATCTATAATTTGGAATTGCTGAAGTCCTGACGAGTCCGGATTAACGACTTTTGACTGTATCCATTAAGCAGTCATTCAACACTTACATTATGGAAGTGAAGGGAATTTAATTAACTTGTGCAATTTACTCTCAGCGTTATATTAAATTACCATTTAATTCTCTGTCATTTACTCTGAATTTATAAAAAGAAAATACTTTATCTACTTTGATAATATACTGGGTGGCCTAAAGAGAACTGAGCTGGAAAATTTGTAAAATTTTGACACTAAATTTACCCTTTTTGATAAAGAGAAGAACTGCCTTTCTACAGAGTCCATTTTTTCATTAATGTTTCCATTGCATTTTTGCTGGAAGTTTTACCAAGACACTTTCATTCTTTAAATCTTGAGCAAAAAGTTCAGTACATATTTTTCACAAATTGTTCTTTACGTAACACTTAGGAAAGAAAATGCGTTGTTATGTTGTTAGCACCATTTTGTATTGCATTCAACTGTTTACTAAATAACATCTGTTCCAATTTCTAATGATCTCTTTGCTGTTTAGAGTATGTTTTAATAACACTCTGAAAATACTTTTCCAAGCCAGTTTTATTTTGGCCACCCAGTATGTATTGTTTGAAAAAAGGAGAATAAATGATATCTGCATTTTATTTCCTGGTTTCCTTTTCATATTTGATAGATTTCTGTTTATTATTAAGTAGGTATATCTATATAGCATGTTTATTATTAGGTAAGCCATATTTTGCATTATTTTCAAGAATTATGTAATTCTAAGTAATGTTTCTCTTTGTATTAGCTACATCTGATTTTATGATTAAATAGCAACAGCACAAAATTCTTAAGATTGTTGCCTTCAGTTTCTTTAATTTTAACTTTAAAATATGCTGAGTTCTGTAGAGGTAATATTAATAATATCAGTAATCATTTGTGTAAAAGAATTTATCTTGAAAAAAAGATCAAATTCAGATTTTTTGGGTTTATACCAATTAAAAACTATCAACTTTTTCCCCTTACTTTTTTTTTAATCATATTAATTTTTTTTATAAAATGTTCATTTGAAAACACTATATTTCTCTAAGGCTTTTTTTTAATAATTGAATATCTACTGCTAAAAAGAATTTAGGTTGAAACCAAAGTTAGAATCTGCCAATTTAGAATAACTTGTGCCAGAATTCCTATCGCAGGAAAAATTTTATTAGCTGTTATAGGTAAAAATAATTTTTTTGTAAGACTTTTTAAAACAATTTTGACAAATAAAAATTTTTAGTAATTATTTTATCTAAGATATTGAACTTCTTTGATTATTATCTAAATGTCAATGGCTATATTAAGAATGGTAATTAATAAAGTTATTCTGATTTTTTATAATTCCTGTTCTCAGACAGTATGTAATGTATTCACTTGAATGCAATATATATGAATTTCAGTTTTTGAATACAGTTGCATAAAATATTTGTTTTTTTACCCATAGAATTGAACATTTAGAAGCTGATGATTTGTTACCTCTAGTATCTAATATATTTGGATATATTCAACCTAAAATTGCAATTTTTACCACTCCTAATTGTGAATTCAATGTCTTGTTCCCATCACTGACTGGCTTTCGCCACTGGGATCACAAATTTGAATGGTCTAGAACAGAATTCAAGCAATGGTAATTAAAATATTTTAAAAAATAGACACACACACTTGCATATATATGTACATTAAATGTTCCTTATTTATATCTGTTTTCTGTAATACTGGTATAAGATGGTCTCTACAAAGTTATGTGTATTGCATTGTATATTTAATAAATATGGTTATCTATACAATATAATTAAGATAACTAATTGTTAGAGATGCATAACTTTAATATTTATAAAATAGATGCAAATAAATAAGAAATCTACCAATATTAGCTATTAAATTTTTTAAGTTTATTGTAGACTGATTAATAAAAAATGTGTATTTCATGCACATTTGTACTGTGTTTAATTAGCAATTAAGTTTAAAATCTTGTTTCTATAATTTTGACTTTTTTCAGTTTTTAATATTTATGGATTTTAAGCTTAATGTAGAATGCTGACTAAAAAATATGCATTATATGCACATTTTAAAAATTGTAAAAATGTCATTTGCATTTGACTACTGATAAGTTGTGTTGTGGGTTGGTGTGTATGTAATTTTATTTGAAATACAGTCGAACCTCAAAACTGGCATCCTTCCATCTAGTACATGCCAAATTTGTAATTCGTGCATCATGAATGCAGAGCATCTTATATGCCTAGAACTAGATAAAGAGTCTTAGAAACGTGGTGAGACAAGCAAACTATACTGTAATGCTAAAACTTTCATGAACTCCCTGTAAAGACTACATCTCTTATGTTCCTTTCCTTGTTTTTTAAATTTTTACTTTTATTCCCATGTTCATTTGTTCCAATTCTTACTTTAAATGTTTTCTTTTTACAGTCAAAAGTCGTTACTTCGGACACCCATAATTCGGAATGATCTATAATCCGGACATCAAAACTAAAAACTTTGCGCATGCGCCACGTTGACACATGCGCAGAGGCGTTCGCGCGTGCGCGTAAGACCTTTTACGACTGCGCATATGAGTGTGCGCAAGTGCAGAATACGTTTTCGCGTGCACATTTTATGTATAATGGACGTATAAGCTAAAATTATCTAATATCTATTTCAGTTAATGTTGATGATTGCGTTGTTCCCTTAATTTTCGAATTGGATCCGGCTTATTATTTTTTGCAGACTGTAAGAGCAATTTTATAAAAGTAAGCTTAAACTTTCGATTATATCAAATAGAATTTCCGATATATATTTGCTTAATATGTAAAGGATCTAAAGCGAAAGTATGTTTCGAAATCCGAAATCTGTTTATCAATTTCACGCTGCTTCGGCGGGGGGAATGCCTCGGCGCACAATGATTTGGAAGTTGATCTCTCATCACTATCCTTATCTTCAAGCGCAGATGTTTTTATTTTATTTGGCTTATAATTCCTTAACTAAATGTAGTATTTCATCTCGATATGCACTCCGTCTTTGATATGATTTAAAACAAGTTCGTCGTCATTATAATTCGCTTCCGATAGTCGAAGAAAAGTAACAGAGGTTATTGAAAACGAAAAAATTTCGATTGACAAATTAGTCGGTGTTCTTGACACACAGCAATTATAGGACTTGAAACAGCGGAACTTTTGTAACTGAACAAGAAATTATGTCTGTTTAATAGAATTAAAGAGAAAGTATTATCACATGAAACGAAGCAAAACTTAAACAACTTACATTGAAAGAAATGTTTAATAAAGTAAACAAATAAATATTAAGCTTTTTCTTTTTTGCAAATTTTGATACCCTTTAGATCATAATTGTTCTTTATTTCATAAATTACGGTTTCATATTTTTTATTTTAGAATTTCTGCATGCCATCTTACGAGATTTAAACTGATGATCTATAATCCGGAAAAATCGATAATCCGGAATCGCCGAAGTCCCGACGAGTCCGGATTAACGACTTTTGACTGTATTTTATATCATTGCTTGTGTGATACTTCAGTTGTTTTAAATGTATGAATTGATTATTCCAATAAATTCATATGTAACAACAACAATAACTGAACCTCATTGTAACGAACACATCTTATAAATGAACCTGCGGATATAATGAAAGAACCTTTTGTTCCCTGCCAATTTCCTATACACTTCGTGTTATTATATATTGCTATAGCGAGCTTCCAAAGGTACGACAAACGGATTTAATGAATTATGTGGATATCTTCAATTGAAACTTTTGTATTTTTAATATTTTGTCCAGAATTTCTGCAAGTTTTAACGAAAAAAAATTACAAACCCCTAAAGTCATCTATGGTTAAGATGCTAGAATGCGCATTCCATTCATGAAGGAAGACATCTTTACATTACTTTTCTTTTATGTTCAACCCCACTTTTCTCTGTCTTCTAAACAAAGGCTATAAAAAAAAAAAAAAAAAAAAAAAAAAGATATGACAACCAGTCTAGGAGAATGAGAACACAATAACCAAATCTTAAGACGCCATATGGTCTTCTATGTTAATGGTGAATGTGACCATTAAACGAAAGAACATAAGCAAGATTTTTGATTCTACAATAATACAAAATACAAAATCCAGATGTTCATTATCCGGACCTCAAAACCCCCAACAACATTCTTCTCGTAGGCTTTACGCATGTGCATTTGATTCCCCCCTCCACACATAATAAAACATCTGGAGAGTCCCGATTCTTAATTTCACTTCGACACTAAATAAAATACCTTGTTATTGAAGGAACAACGATTTTAGCATAAATTTGTACGATCAGTAATTTGGCTCCGTTGCTGCGTATCTGCTTGTCACACATCTCAAACCGAAACATTTCACATAGATACATTGTTGATCTGATGCCAACCTGGTGAATCATTATTTATTATACTTTCCTTTCATCACCGCATGTTTATCAAAACATGACAACTTGAGTAATGGCTTGTGTAGCGATGCCTAAAATTTTTTTTTTATGTTAGTAATTGAATAATAAAGGAGTATGGTAACCTTTTATACTGACATTACGCTTGGCGATGATTACAGATTTAAGTTAAATGTGTGAAAAAATGTTGACGAGGAAAAAATTTACCAAAAATTTCTTTCCATATACTAAAAATAGATTTTGTTGATGGTACTCATATGGCCCAAAGATTACATTTAGGGCTATTTGAATTAAAAATAACTGATTTGTAATTCACATAAACCCAGAACCAGCGCCAGAACTAGTAAGGCCGCACTCAATCGCAGAATTTATGACCCACAGAGACTGCATCAAGCAGTAAGATATCTAGCGCCAATTCTTAATAAGGCTTAAGTATATGTGGGAATTTTTTTATTCAGGACTCAGATAAGCCTTAAGCATATGCAAGAAATAGACTTACATATAATAAATAACTTAACTAATACAATTCAGGCTTAATTGTCTCAGTGCGCAAATAGAAGCAAGATAAAATTTAACAGAACAACTTGTTAGTCACCAAGCTCATGATGCATATCCAAATATGTATAGTGAAAGATAGCTAAATTTGATGATATCCGCTAATTTTAAAGGTTTTCGGATATCGCAAAGCAACGGTGAAATTTTCCAATTTAAGGATTTTATTAAGAAATCTGGAGAAGCAGTAATAAATGAAGATGATATAAAAAAAGTTTTTCATTGTGATGACAATGCTTCTCAATCATCAATCAAATAACGAATGGCAAAATCTGTAGTATGGTTCTAGATCCAGAAAATACTGCTACCGATAGTGAAGAAAGTGACAGAGAAGTTACTGAAAACGAGAAAATTTCGATTGACAAGTTAGTCGGAATTCTCGAAACAGAAGTAACAGGACTTCAATAATGTAACTGAACAAGAGATTATGTCTGACTACAGAAATAAAGAGAAAGTATTAGCCCAAGAAACGAAGCAATTTAAACAGCTTACATCGAAAGAAATGTTTAATAAGGTAAACAAATAAATATTAAGCTTTTTTTTGTAAATTTGGTACCATTTAGATCATAAATACTTCATTATTTCATAAATAACGATTTCATATTTTTAATTTTATAATTTCTACATGCCGTCTTTACTAGATTTAAACTGATGATCTAATATCTGGAAAAATCCAAAATCCAGTCCCGACGAGTCCGGATTTTGGACTTTGTACTGTATTCAAATTCTTTGACTTAGTTATCTGGCAGAGCTTATACTATGATAGGAATTTACTGATACCATCTTGGAAATTTTCACTGTTCAGGGAAAAAGGAAGTAGTGAATCTTATGAGTTTGGGTTATTAGTTGAATCGTCTTTCAGAAAATAAAAATCTTTTATCCTTATCTCTTTTATTTGGCTTGTTTGAGTATAAGTGCTTTTCTAGTTCTGTCCTTTGAATGGGAGTTTTGCATTCTTTAGATATTTTGAAAGACATGTTATTCTTTATAAAAGTTATTGAATCTTTCCTTTGCAACCATACATGTCTTTAATAGAAGTAAATTCATGAGTATTTTTTGTTGTTCTTTTTTATAGAGATACAAAAACACTGCTGTTATATTTTTATGAGATATTCTACTTTTCTTATCTGATACAGTGAAACAAACTTCTGGTCCCTTGAAGTTCTTTATAGCAGGGTTGAGCTGTATATGGAGGTTAGGAGTAGGGATGCACCTGGATATGAGATTGGCCAGTTATTGAATATTTGGCTATTTACATGGCTTCTTCCAGTTATTTAAGTTTGCTTTATTAAAAAAAATGTATTTTGTATAGGTGTGAAGATATAACAGATAAATACCCAGATTATACAGTAGACATTCAAGGCATTGGTGAACCACCTTCTGAGTCAAGAAATTTAGGCTGCTGTTCACAGTTGGCTATTTTTAAAATGAAGTGTCCTTTGAATGAGAAAATTATTCCTACAAATGATAATGCAGAAGAGAAATATATATTGGTAAGTATGTTTAATGATGTTTCATATATAATGAGTCATCTGAAACATTCTGGATTTTTTCAAATTGAAGCACATTTTCTTCTAATTACTTTGTTACTGCTGATTAGGCATGTCCTTGATCAAAGTGGGTTTTTAACAATTTTTGTTTCAGTGCGTTTCTAAGAATGGAGAACCAAAAAGTTCATTTTCTTTATATTATGCTTTTGTATTTGAAAAAAGAAGAAAAAATACTAGTGAGATTTCTCTTCAAATTTGTGCTATGTACTTCTGGTGACAAGGTTTGACGCTGGTATGGAAATTTCAGCTTCGAAGATGATGCCTGCTCTTGGTAACCAGCCTGTGTAAACAAGTACATGTTAAAAGAATCTATCTTTGAAATTCCAAATTATGCAGTTTAGGAACTGTCAGGCAGAATCACTATTTCAAAAAGTACAGAATATGATTGTATGAAGATGACTGGGTGTATAAATTGCTACAAAGTATGGGCACTCCATATCTTAATGAGCAGAATATGTTTTCTCGTGTTTCAGCATGATCTTTGCTGAAGGGGGGATAAATAAAAATAAAAAAGTAACCCCCCCTTTTTTTTTTTTGAAATAGCTCATTTTTGGAGAAGAGAAGTAGATACTATACAATAATGTTGCAAGAAAAAGATCTTGGCATAAGCCGAAAGAATCTCTTTTAGTAACATCAAGAGCGGGCTACATCCCCCCCCCCAAAAAAATAATTCTTTGTGTATGGTGAGATTACAAAGGAATTGTATACTTTGAATTGTTGTCATTAAATCAGACAAGAAACTTAGAAAAGTACTATTCCCAAATGGCAGTTTTAAAAGAAAAAATCGAAGTAAAATGCCCAGAACTGACCAATCTTTGAGATGTCTTTCATCGTGTCAATGCTTGGCCACTTATTTCAATGAATGGTGGACAAAGACTTCTTGAGTATGGCTGAGATATTTTCTGTTACCATCCATATTTATTAGACCTTGCTTTCTTGGATTTTCATCTCTCCTGGTCACTTCAAAATTCTCTGAATGGCTCTAAGGGTTCACTTCTTTGGAGACTCAAACAGCATATTGATAGCTTTTTTATGCATAAACTTAGTGACTTTTTCTAAAAAAAGAATTTTCTAGCTACCAGAGAGGTGCAAAAAGTCATAGGATAAAATGATGCATTAAAAGTTTCTTATGTTTTTGTACTGCTTAATTTGTATTTATCATCACAATGCTGCAGAACTCTTCCAATGGTCAAATATTAAAATTTATATTTGATCAACAGCATAAATAGTCACTACTGGAGTGATTACTCTATTGTGGTATTATAGAATCAAATGTAGAGTCATAATACCATTAGCAATGAATATTCATGTTCCAAAATGTACTTTTATTTGTATGTTTCTGCATTTCCTATAAATCATATTACCTTGAGAAAACAACAAGTATTGATTTGCATTTCATTTTGTAGTTAAGTTTGATGGAATTTTTAATAATTTAAAATAATAGATAGATAGCTTAAATAGAGATGCATAAATATCAAAAGCATGAAAGGTGAATCATATTTTTTTTTTTTCTTTTTGTGAAGATTATACCATACAAATATTTGATAGTTTTCTTTCTTATATATCAGATTTGAATATAAAGATAGGGGTAATCATTTTGTTCATTTAATGAGAAATTCCACTTTCCATATAATATATGTTGTTTTTTATTACAAATATTATTAAGAAATTTAAATTTTATCTGCTGTTGAAAGCCAAGTAAAAATAAATTTGAAAAAATATGGAATGGAATTTAAAAAGTGATATTTTGACATATATTCTATTGTTTAATTTTATCCTCATCAGATATTTGCATATTCTGTTTACACATAGTGAGTTCAACCTTAGGATACACTTAATAAAAGAGGATTTTCTTAAAAAATGTAACAATACTCAGTGATATTAAACAAAAGAATTGTGTAAAGTTAGAAGTAAGGAAAAGGTGCTATTCATTATGATTTTAGATAAAGTAAGAATGAATCACTATGCTTTATAAATCCTCACAATGCTTTATCAGCATCAAATGTTAGTTTTAATATAGTTTTAACTATGCAGAAATGATAAATTTGAACAGATTCTAAAAAATTATACAATTTTTTTCTTTATTAATATTTCTGAAGGTATGCAATAATAATTTAAATTTCTTGAACATTTTACAACAAAACTTTAATTAAATATTTCTTTAGTAGTTGAATATTAAATTTTAGAAATTTTTTTCTTACAGATAGATGAAAACAAATTTCCTGGAAGAGTAAATGAAAATTTAAGGAAAGAATAGTTATACATAAACTGAATTGTATATGTAAAAATGTACGTGCATTTTTAAATAAAAAAACTGTTTGTATAATTTTGTACATAATAAAAACTTGTTTTAAGAAATATGAAAAATGAATTTCTTTTTAAATATTTAATTTTTGAAAAGAAAATCAAAAACTTATTTTTATAAATTTTTGTCTAAGACATTAGATTTCCATTTGCACTTGATAATATCAGTTGAGTATAGATACTAATTCCATGAGATCATGCAAAGTCAATAAAAATTATGTAGAATTATTATATGTAGGGAAATATTACTGTTACAGACATGGTAACATTGAGTGTATCTCAAATAATTTTTTTATTAATAGGAATGTGTTAAAAATAAGAGTTGAATATGAAAATAATCAATCTCACTTAACCTTTTAATGTCCTTATGTTTAAAGTAACTATATAACCTTGTAACGTGAACTTTGTGTAAACCATTAAAGCAATATATTAGAAGGAAAGAGCCTGGATAAAAAGTAGCAGTGATATTTTGGAAGTATAATCATTAAAATACCTTGCTGTCATCATCTGTTTGAGAACACTTGGAGTTATGAATTGAACATATTTTATTTTAACATTATATAAAATTTGTATGCATCTATGCTACATTAAATAACTACAATATTTGTATCAGAGCAAGAGATGGTACAACAATGTCTTAGTTTTATCCTTTTTTATAGTTTGATTATTAAAGTGTATGATACCATTATTCTAAAATGAGAATGACTACTTTTCATAATCAGGCACATAGTTTGTGCCATGCTTGAATAAGTCTTTCAGAATGCATCTTTTACATCAAACAAAGCATATATGTGATTAAAGTCATTAAGTGCATATGCATTGAACAAAATATATTATTAAATGTATATGTAGAGATAAGAATTCTGCATAACAGTTATTATTTTTTCAATATTTATTATTAACATAATTCCATTGTTAGATATTGTTTGAAAATTTGTATTCAATTAATAGCTAATAGCTTTTCTTAAAGAAAAAAAATTTAAAAATGAAAAGTGTTACTGCTTTATGAATTTCTTTTAGTAAGTTCTTTTAAGTTGATTATATAATAACTTAAATGTAGACTTGAGAAATTATATCAAAGATGATAATGAAATATGTCACTAATCCATATAGTGTATATCACTCAGTGCAGAGATGGAAAGATCTAGAGTTCAGAATTTGACATGCAGATTTTGGAAAGTTTTCCCCCTTGATCAATTGATTTCTTTCAATCCGTTTATGCCAAATATTTTTAAAAGTACTTTCTGATTATCTGCATCTTCTCCATAAAGTTGTCTACTAATTTTTTTGTTAAGCTAATATAAAAAATTCAACAGCCATTTTGAAAATGTCGGTGCAAAAAGAATTTCATGAAAGAGCAATGAATTGATACAATTAAAAATTGAAAAGCATCTGTAATGAAGCACTTACCTTTTTCAAGAAATCCTTATATGTAATATTTTTTGCACATTTTTTTCTCCTCCCATGCATAGCAATGTGTTTTTGTTTTAAAAAATGACAGCACTGTACATGCTGTTGTTCTTCCCATGTACTCAGTGATCTGTTTTCACTTTAAAAAAAAGTCAGAGACTTGCACAAAGTTTGATTCTTTAACAAGTAAAATTTCGTGGAATGCAAATTTTTGCTCTCTCTATTATTGAGTAAAATGCTATATTTCTGAAGAAAAGCAATGCTGTCTTGGTACTTACGTATTATCGCAACCAGGTTGGCGCGATTTGTAAGTTTGAGTAAAAAAGTATGAATAGAAAGAAAATGTACATTTATTAATTACAGATAATTTTTAATACAGTTTTTTATATTATTTTGTTTACCGTACTTACAGCAACCTTGTTAATTTATTAAAGCGAGGTGTGCGTAGTTCGTAGCCTACATTGTGCCATTCGTAGATGTTTTTTTAAGTTAAAACATGTCGCTGTGTACATGGATTCTTGTCAAATATTTTTGGTTAGAAACTTTACGTTTTTGCTTTCTAAATTTTTTGTTTTTGTTTTGGATTTTTAGCTTAAATCGTGTGTTCAAAACGTAGTTTTTGCATGTGCTAAAATCGCGTTTTTTGAGACGTTTTAGGCTTAAAGTTCGAAATATAGACAAGAATCCATGTACACAGCGACATGTTTTAACTTAAAAAAACATCTACAAATGGCACAATGTAGGCAACGAACGAATCTACGAACTACGCACACTCGCTTTAATAAATTAACATAAGGTTGCCGTAAGTAGGGTCGCCAAATTTGGCGATTTATGCGAATTTTGGCCTGGTTGCGTTAATACGTAAGTACCGCTGTCTTTTTGATCTGTGGACAAACTCTATTACAATTCTTTATAAGTTCCATTATGATTTCTTGCAAGAGACAAAAAATATACTCAGTACAAAAACAAACATTAAACAGAAAAATTACAGTTGAATTTGAAGGCGAAAATCCATGATCATCTGCTACATGCACGCAAAAATTATTTTGCCAGTGCCATAGGTTGTCCAGTTTGACAACATAGTGTGTTACCACACGAATACTTTTCAAAGAGGGTTTCTGAAGATAATCAGAAAGAGGCGTTTTTAAATTTTGATATAAAAAAATATATTGTTCGAATTCTCACAGATTATAATAATTGATATGTAACCTTTTTTGGGAAACAAATGGTCAAAAATGTGTTAATTTATTTTTACAATTTTTTAAACTGCAGGGTATCCATAATTTATTCACTAGATAAAAGATATGTTTTAAATAATATAGAATAAGAGATAGGGGGAAAAACTGTCTGAATTTTATTTAGCAGTTCAAAGAATTTTATATTAATGCACTTAAACATAAGAACCATTATTAGTTGCTCAGAGCATGTAACTTTTGTTCTTGATTTCCCTCCAGACATTATTAAACATTACGGAATCACATATGGTTTTTCTGTGGTGGTTTGATTTTTTAATGCTTTGATGTTGTGAATCTGTGCAGCATAAACTCAGTTCTTAAAGTATCCCATCCCCAGAAAAGAAGTCGAGTAATGTGACACCTGGAAACATTTCATCAGGGAACACATACGTACATGTGTAGCCACACACATATACATTTTGTTGGGAAAAAAGTTTGGCTATGTTTTTTCTAATCGCAGTACCAAAAACAATCTCAGCATTATATTAATAATCTGAATTAATTTATGACTCTGAAAGAAGGGACCATTTACTTTGATAGGAACTAGTCCACATCAAGTGTTGACCTAAAGACTACCTTGCTCAATTTCCCTTATAAAATGTGGCTTTTCTGACATTCTAAACTCTCCTTGAAATGTTGCTTCATCACTGAATGCAATTTTCTGAAGAAATTGAGCATGATTACTGATATAGTTAAGAATATCTACTGAAAATTCCTTGCAAATGACTTGATCATTAGGTTTGATTTGTTGACAGATTTGCAGTTTACACGCAATAAATTTCAGCCATTTGTGAACAACTTTATGAACAGTCAACCTGGGAATTCCTATTTGTAAGCAAGCATGATGAATTGATTTTCTAGGACTGCATACAAACACATATTGAATGGCGGAAACATTTTTATTACTACACTTCCTTTATGCAAAACATGTCCAGTCTCTTGAAACTGTTTTAACCATCTCTTAATTTATTGTTCTGTTGGTGAAGGTTTATTGAATTCATGTTTGAATCACCTGATTGGAGATTTTGTTGCCCATAAACGCACATTGCTTTTTCAATACATGATGCCATTTTGTGTGTAAACAAACAAATTCACTGTTCCATTCCCAAAAATTAGAACAAGCAAATCTCCTTGAACTAAGCATTACTTCAATATAAATTATTTCATGTTACTTTGTAAAATTACGTTTCAAATTAATTTTGTTATCCAGTGATTAAATAATGGGCACCCTGTATGATATATTTTATAGCACTGTGAAGGAAGGTTTTATTTCTTGCAGGCAATATTCATTCTACTAATAACTTAAAAAAATATATATATATATATTATTAACTATTTTATCAGTAGCACCCATCCTTGAAATATGAAAAAATGGGAGGTATGTTTGCTGTGTTGTAATGTTAATGAACTCATAATGTTATTCTGATTTAGTATATATTAATATTTAATTAGATATTCTAAGTTTTAATTTTGTAATTTTAAGTGAGAAAATTCTGAGTAGGAATGAAAAGCTTTTATTGATCAAAGTGCTTTTAAACTCAATGTAAATGAAGTTTATAATAAATTAACATTGTGTGGATAAACTTAGTAATGTATCATTTATTCATATTAATGATAAAAAATTAACACATTCGCTGTCAAAACTGATATGGTGGGTCCATTCACATGTGCCAAGACCCTATCTGTATTTTTAGGAATTTAAATTATTTTCTGTTCTTTTATCATTTAAATATAGACATAACAGATTACTTTTAGCAGTAAATAAATTCACTCTTATTGGCATACGAAATAAATTTTTTGCTTTCTGTGCCAACTACAAGATGCTCAGAACTAGATAAACAATGTGTTCTGTGCATTTATGTAAAACTCCTGCATTTGTGATGTATTATTTTTTGTTAGTCTAATACAAATAATTGAAAAAGGACTAAAACAGTGTGTTCATAATATTTTCCAACTATGAAACAAACAATAACAACAAAAAGTTTTATGATTTAAACATTTAGTTATTGCATCTACATTTTGAGAAATAAATGATCCATATCAATATGCCAAATACCTAAACATTGGATGTATATGCTACAGCAATACTTATACTCGGTGATTTAGCTAAGGCAATCAATAACAAGTTATTTAGTAGCTGTCGAGTAAACTCTTTCTCAAGTAGGAGTATTCTTGTAGATGGCAGTGAATATATTAAATACAAATATTAACTGGTTACATTTGTTAAATCTTTATATAAAGTCTTACAAATGTGTACAAAGAATTACAACAATTTAGATATAAAATTCAATAAGAAAATTTAATTTATGTTAAAAATCATTACATATGATATTTGCACAATTTAAGTTTCATTAATTAAAAAATTGATGGGAAAAGTGTTCCTTAGTAAAGACTAAAAATTTAGATCTGGAAGATTCGGTGGTATATTGGGAGAGTGATAAAAAACCAAGAGTCTCTTGGTAAAACCAAAAATGGTGGCAGTTTAATTTTGTGTACATCAATTGGGATGAAAGAGTTAACGTATATGCACATATATTGCACAATGCAGAAATAGGTAGACCCAGTGCTATGAAATTTGGCATGTATTGTTAGTGCAATGAACATTTTCAAAGCACTTACAAAATTCAACTTAGATTTTTATTAATTTATTGTTGAAATTTTTTTTTTCCAAAATCTTTGCTTAATAAGCTGATGGTCTCAGAATCTGTACCATCATATAAGGAGGAAAAAATCTTTTAAATGCAGTTTATTTTGAATCTAACATAATTTGCTATTTTTTTTTTTCCAGTTAAAGAAAAAAAAAGGGCAAGTAATTTTAGCTTGATTTTTTTTAATCATTGCATTTGGTTATTTTAAAATTTCAGCTTTAAAAAATGAATCTTTTATAAAAGCTCAATATTTTGACTTATTATAATACCAATTCTTCACCCTCTTTTAAAACAATAATGAAAAAAATAAGTGAATTTTCTGCATTTCCCCATTCCTAGCATATCACATCAGAACTTCCCACTGAAAGTTTTGCAATTTTTTCCTCTGTCACGTGATCTCTATAATGACTGTTATCATGATCATGTGACTAAAAATAAAAGCAAAGCATCTGTATTAGAATAATATTAAGACTATAGGAGAGTTTCAAGGAACAGCAGAAGTGTTGGTATAGGAACAAAGAGTAAAAGAATGATTCAATTCAAATAGATTTCTATGTGATCCAATATAATATGCTTCCCCACATGTGAATAATTGAAATCACTCAACTGACACCAGTGGATCTTGTTCGTTCATTCAAATAGATATTATACTTTAGTATTTCTACTATTTTATAAAAAAATATTTATGAATTTGCAATGTACAGTAGAAGCTTTTAACCAGCAGCAATAGGACCTTGCCGATTCTGCATAAGAGATTTTTCCGGATAATCAAATATACATATCTAGAACTTTTGTGTTTATGTTTTATGAAGCTATCTATAGAAATTATAGCATAGTACATTAGTCATCGGCCACAACTAAATAACATTGAAAAACCATGCAGATAGTTTAAAATTAAAACACATGCACAAGATTTTATATTTTAGAAAAACAAAAACATTTTAAAATTAACCATATGTATTATAACGTGAAAGGTAGAAATTTTTTAATGCAAAGGGATATACTACTTCAAATGTGTGCCTGCTTGCAAGACTGTGGCCATAGTTTTAAAAATTCACTGTCTGTACAATGAAGCTTCATAATATCATGACATAGCTGAATATTTATTGGCAAATCTTATGAAAATCTGCAATCCTTTGTCAGCTTCTTTCCATATAGTTGTTTTAACACTGCATGTTGTCTTCATCTTCATCCTCCCCATCATTCTTCTCCTTTCTCACTAATTATTTCATTTTCATAACTCTAATTATTTCATTTTCATCTTGACAGAATGTGATGGATAAGAGACAATTGTCTACATTAACCCAAGCCTCATCTTTTCTTTGATACTATTATTTCTTCAAAATCCCGGATGTTGGCCACAAACATTGGACTCATCATCCATTTACACGTTGACTGCCATGGCACATTTCGGATTCTATTCTGAGAAGACAAATTGATTTAATCATATTATATTATTAAAAATACTAATTATAATTCGTAACAATCATTAAAAAGTTTACAGGATTTTTTTTTTTTTTTCTGTAGAGAAAAGGGTTCTATGAATTATCTTGTAGCCAGCTTTTGTTAGAAAACACTCTTTGCAGAAGACCACTATGAGTGATTCGTACAGACATGCTTCAAGTTGTTGCCTCGGTAAAGCTAAAACAAGCGCTAAGTGAGTAAATAACTCGTAGCAGTGCAAAAGTAGCAAGTCAAAAAACTACGAGATAACTCATATTGCACGACCTGAAGAAGAGCTCTAATATGAGTTATCTTGTGTTGGGCAGTCAATGTGTTAACATGATCATTAGCCATAATTTACCCCAAACAGAGATATTACATAATGTTCTTACATTTTTGCAATCAACAGATAAAGTAAGTATGGCATTCTTCAGTGTTGTTTTTGAAAATCATTGCCACTTCCTTTAAACAGGGATTTGTAGTTCATCTTTAAATTCTAGAGAATTCGTTGGTTCATTGGTTTGTTGCATTAGGCAGCAGAAACAACAAATGTTTTCTAAATTTAGGTCTTCAGATTGTTAGCCCATTAGATTTTTTTTTAAAATCTCAGAGGCTTAAATTTTAGATTTAAATTTATATCTCCAAAAGTGTTATTTTGTATTACTAATTAATTTGTGCTGGTTATGAGATATTTTACTGTATTTACATAATTTAAATATTACATTCACACTTTGTAAAACTTTCTACCTCTTCCTTAATTTAAACTGAAACTTTATCAATTTGTTATGCAAGAGCAGCATAACACTGTCTATAACTTTATGTGCACCATGGTTGCATTTTTGGTTAAATGTGACCAAAACTGTGCTTTCAGTTAAAAAAATTACTTTTTACTGAAACTATTAAAATGTTTCTTTTATATATTTTTTGTTATTCAACTAAATTTTGTATTTATATTATTTATATAAGAGTATAAAAAAGGGTTAAAAATAAGCTTAAAAAATTATGGAGGAAAGTTATAAAATAACCCAAATTCATTCATAGTTACTGTATTTAACATATGTGTTATTGCAACACAAATTTGAAACTGGTTTTATAACGGATATTACATTTTATTACAAAACATTTATTTATGGTAAAAAATTAACATAAACAAAATTAAATTTTGTAATGTCACCTTTCATAAATCTCTCAGCATTACACTCTAATGAGTAACTTGTTTCGTGTAATACTATTTCCCAAACTATTTCTTTTTTCATTTTCTCCATATCATACAAAATGCCATCACATTATGCCTATGGCAGTTTAACTTCCTGAATGCAGCACATTTCCTTCCAACCGTCCTGTAGTTTTAGCGAAAAGTTCAAACTTTTCTGGTATATTTTGCATATTCTAGAAATAATTTTCTTACATTTGCACATTTCTCATCTAGCATTCAGTCATATTTTATGAATCTTTCCTGAAGTACTTTCTCCTTTTTGATAACTTTTCTGTGGTGGCAACAGTTGGTCTGTTAACACTTTGAAATATTTGCAGAAAGCATAAAATGCAGAATTTCTCGATCTCATTTTAATTTTCAGTTTATTTTTAAAGAGTTTCATTGCTATAGTTTGCTTATTTTTTCATTGGGGTTTGTGTTTTTTATTTTAATCTTTGATTCTTTGTGAGTTATTTTGGTTGAATGGAAAATCCTTAGTTGAGGTTCATGGTAAGGAAACTTTTGATGGAAGATAAAGATTTGAGGATCTTCTTGCTTCTAAGAACAGCAAAATCTGAGCAGTGCATCTACGGGTATGAGAAACTTAAGTCATCTGGACTGGAAACACCAGCAGAAGTCTTGGGTGGCTGGAATGGGATGTGCCTATTGGATGATATGGTCACCTGAATTCCATCAATGGCTTTAACTAGCAAACTACTCGGTGTAACTTTGAACTAAAAAGTACAAATCATATCTAGATGATAGTAAAATATAGTGTTATTAAAATAATCAGAAAAATATGATCCATAAATTGGTGCAAGTTCCAAATTGAATTTAATCTCTGATTATATATATGCCATCGACCAGTTTCTTCATTACGTTTCATTTGATAGTTGATTATCTTAATTTTATTATAATATGTAAACTTTTCTTTCTTTCTTTTTCCCTAGGATAGATTTTTTTATTCAATTTTCATTTATTTTTATAAATTTCAGTTCTTTCAAATGCTTTTTAACTTTTGATTTAGTATGCATATCAAAAGAGTCTAAAAATTAGTTGGAAATAAAAATTATTTCCTATGAAAATTGGTCCACTGTTCTTTTATCATTTTAGTGTATATACCTCAGGGTAATCATTTTTCCATATGGACTTTTCCTGTGATTCTTATTTCCATCAAAAACTGTTTGTTTGGCTTTTAGAAATTTTTGCAACTGAATTTGATTTCATTTTTTTTATGATTCTCTAAGTTCATATATACCATATTTGATGGCATATAAGATGCACTTTTTTCCCTAAATTTGGTCTCAAAAAAGTTACCTGTGTCTTATACGTGAAGGACACAGATTAACTTTCAATACTGAATGCTATTTTTAGCCCGGATAAAGGTCTAGACACACATAACTTTTTCTACATCTGCCATAATTATTTTGCGCATGCGTGAAATATCTGCCGCCAAAAAGCGCCAAAGCTCGAACAGGTTCGACAGTCATATTACGTCTATGGAGCCTTTCCTTCTTTACATAAACTTTCTTTGACTCAGTCGACACACGTGTCGGTATCGGTGCTTAAAACTCTTTGTTAAAAAAAATACCCTTTAAAATATGACTACAGAAAACAAGAGATTAAGCTATACAATTCAGTATAAACTAGGAGTGTTCAACTACGCCAAAGTGCATGGAAACAGAGCAGCAACAGGGCATTTCGGTCCACCCACCTAACGAAAAAATGATATGTACTTGGCGACTGCAGGAAGATCAACTGAAGACTGCTAAAAAACAAAAACATAACCTTCGATGCCCAGCTTCATCTTGGCCTGAACCTGAAAATGTGGGTGATAGATAAGAGGAAATTCTGGGATGTGTTTCAACCAAAATGATAATCAATGATGCCAAAGGATTTGCAGAAAAACATGGGAATCGGAACTTTTCAGGGTCTGAGGGCTGGTGCTACAGGTTCATGAAAAGGCAAGGCTTATCAATGCACACAAAAACAACTATTGCACAGAAAATGCCAGCAGATTATGAAGAAAAAATACTAGCATTTCATAGGTTTGTTACAAATGCACACAAGAAAACTTCTTTTGAGCTCGGTCAAATAGGAAATATGGATGAAATTCCACTCACATTTGATGTACCATCCAACAAGACTGTGAGTATTAAAGGGTCTAAACCAATAACCACAAAAACCACATGTCATGAAAAACCCGATATACAGTAGTTCTAACATGTTGTGCTGATGGCACAAAACTACTGCCGTTTTTCATATTCAAAAGGAAAACTTCCAACGGGTGTAATTATTCATGTTCATCCGAAAGGCTGGAATGAAACTGTGGTTACAGAACGTATGGGCGAGGCGACCTGGTAGACTTTCTAAGAAAACCCTCTTTTTTTGGTTTTGGATCAGTTTAGCGCCCATAGAACTGAAACCATAAAGAATAAAGCTAGAGAATAAAAAACCCAGATAGCTGTCATTCCTGGTGGACTGACTAGCCAATTACAGCCTTTAGATGTATCGGTGAATAAGCCATTTAAGGAAAAAGTGCAAGAACGATGGAACAAATGGATAGGAGAGCCACATCACGCACTCACATCCTCAGGTAGAATGAAACGGCCCTCTATTTCACAAGTGTGCGAGTGAATAAAAAGATCTTGGGAGGACGTAAAGGCTGAAGTAATTAAGTCCTTTAAGATATGCGGAATCAGTAATGCTCTTGATGGAACAGAAGATACTAGCGATGACAGAAACAGTATGACGATATTCTCGTTTCGATGATGATATATAGTGAAAAGGATTTTTATGGTTTTGAAAGTGATTAAAGTCTAATTTCATGATAGATAACGTTTTGCTTGAATCTGTGTGGGTGTTTTTGTGGTTTTCCCCATGTGTAACGTGTATACGAGCGAGTTTCCCTCAGAAAGTCCTCCACAAAGGCATCCCTTCCCTTAAGCAAATAGCCCTAGTGTGCTTTGCTATAATTAAATGCACCACACCACCTTGAATGTGTGTTTTTTGTTGTTTTTGCTTTATTTTGTATTATGTTTGATTGCTTGCCGTTCATTCATTTATTCATTATTGAAATTTACATATCATGTTCAAATAGCTTGCCGTTTGTTAATTGCATTCAATGATTGTTTATTTGGCTTTTACGAAACGTGAGAACTAAAAGAAACCACATTTTAAGTTATTGTGGTACCGCGCTATAGCGCGGACTATTCAAACTTTTTTTCCTTGTGTGTGGCCTTCTAAATAAGGGTGCGTCTTATATGCCGTCAAATATGGTATTTTTTCATATAATTTCATTAATTTGATTGTTATTTGTAACAATATATATCTCCAAGGATGGATTTTGCATTTAGTGGTTCTTTAATCAATTTTATTTTTCCCTTGCTATGTCCCCCCCCCAGTTTAACAGATATATTAGTGGACATAAACAATATGAATTTGCATAAAGAATGTAATGAACCCTATCTAGAAAGATTAATCATGGATCTGAATGATTTTGGTCATTTGTGAAAAATTTATTGTGGTTGTACTTAATGTGACGTTTAATACCTTTGTTAATAAATATTCTCAGAAATACAGGTCATTTTTATAAATAGTCATCCATGGAATTATCTATTTTCATAAATAGTAATATATCAGCTATGAGAGAGTTCACTGTAATTAAATGTGAAATTTGACATGCAATTTTTTATCATATTAGTATATATGTCTAAGTTGCAGTGAAAATACAATATTATAAATATTACTTCATACATGTGATTAAGTTTTGAAAATGTAATAA